AGTATTAGTATTAACCCTGTTAGTGCTGAAGCCTTTCCATTACGTTTGTTCAGATGAGACAATATGTTCGTTCACGAGATATTTAAACAAAGCTATATGTGAGGCATCGTGGTGGAATCAGGCTCTCTTCAATATTTGGGCATGTAGAGTTATTGGTATCATCTTAAAGCTTTTCCACTTGTCTTTACTTGGATGAAAAAAATAACCATTTATCTTAAATACAAGTCGAGATATTTGTGAATGAAGGATGTGGGGATCACCTTTTTCAGAGGTAAAATTAGTAAGAAAATGGCCTCTAAAGATTAGTTATTTCCTTAGCTTAAGAGTCCATGGTAACTGAAAATTTACATTTTTTGTGCCTTTAATCAACGCTTTTCAGAAAAATCCACACAGGAATGAGTTCTTTAATGGGCATGAAAGGTATTGAGCCAAAAAAACAAAAATTTGACAAAAATTCACAAACCGGCGGAAAAATGGAAGTTTCTTCACTTTGATTATTTTGACGAGAGCCTGATTCCACCACGCTGCCTCACATATTATATAACATAATTATTATTATATTTGTGTACTTGGGAAATTAATGCACTTTACACGAATTTTCCATATGGCTGGGTCCTTTCGGAGGTCCTGCCCACTAAATAACCTAATTGTGTTAATAAAGACGTTAAACATGTACCATTTCACCTTTTTAAGAATAGAAAAAATCCTCTAAAATATTTTCTTTAAATCAGTAGACAAAAATGCCAGTGGACCAGTTGGAGAGACCACAAATGTGAATCATCGTCGTGGTGAAATCAGGCGCTCGTCAAAATAATTAAATTTAAGATCCTGGCTCTTTTTTGACAATCTTTGTTGAATTTTTGTTCTTTGGCTCAATACCTTTAACGTCCATAATGTAACAGCACATTTCTGTTACGATTTTACTCAAATTCGTTGATGAAAGGTGTCAAAATGTCATTTTTTCAGTTCCCAAGGACTCTCAAGCTGTGGAAGTCACCAAACTTTGGTGGCCGTTTTCTCGCTGATTTCGCCTCTGAAAATAGACGGACCCCACCTCCTTTAATTGTAAATATTCTGAATTCAATTCAAAATATAAAATCTTTCGACGAAAGAAGGAAAAAATGAATAAGCTTCTAAGATACAATAACTCTACATGCCCAAAAATTGACGAGCGCCTGATTCCATGGCAAAAGTGTGTAATATCAATACGTCTACACGGCACATAGGAGGTTAACGCTTATTGTAGCATTTCTATTGATCGTTTTATTGTTTATCTGGGTGAAATATTCTTAAACATTGGTGCCTAAATACAGATCGCGAAGTGCCGAACATAACACTGGGGTCCGACAACATGTAGATCTGGTTCTAGGTCTCGGGGTCATTCTGATAGGATTTTAACTTTCATCAATAAATAATTCGATTTGATTCAGGAATTGAGGGGGAGATTACTTTGTGTTGGTTTTGTGGTTCTCGATGGCCAGAAGTAATAGTAGATTTATATAAATGTATATATATTCGCTCTGTATGTGTGTGTGTGCTTGTGTGTGCGTGAATGTGTGTGTGTGTGCTTGTGCGTGTGTATGAGCGTGTGTGTGTGCGTGTGCGTGCGTGTGTGTGTGTGTGTGTGTGTGTGTTT